GGGGGTGGGAGGAGCTCCCTTTTTCCTCTTTGCGCAAAGGACTACGGGCGGGGGCGAGCAACTTGGCTACTACTTATGGAAGAAATGCAGAGACGGAGCACCACCGTACAGGAGCCGGGAGCAGCAGTAGGACTAGGAGCGCAGCCGAGCTGAGCTAGCTAGCTGTCACTGGCGGCCGTGGTAGGGTAGGGCTGCACCGCACACAGCCGTAGGGGGAGCAGTGGCTACTTTTTTCCGTGGCAAGGCTCGTGGGGGTGTCACAGGAATGGAGCCAGGTGTCTGCCACGAGCTGGTCAGGAAGTGACCGGCCCCCACCCCACACGCCATTGGTCCGCGGGTCACGTCGTCAGGTCAGGTCCGGTCCGGTCCTCTCTCCCTCCCTCGATCCTCGCCTTTGCTCGCTCCTTTGCTTCCCCGAAACTACTTCACAGACGATACTGCTGGACGATTCAGAGACGATATGTTTAATCCACTGGCTGTGTTGCACCTAGTCCTCTCTCTTCCCCGGCGCGCAGTGCCCTCGCCGTGAACCAAAGGCCATTCTACTGTTCTTTCCGACTCCGAGCATGATGATCCTTATCCTTCCGGCGGCTTTGCTTGCTTGCTTTTTTAACCCTCGGCCGGGGATACTGTTTTTGGGTTGTTTTCCTGGGTGGGGATGGGGGAACAGGAGTGTAGGACGGTCCGGCGGGCGGACGGGTGGTGTCAACAACTGTTGGGGAGGACAACGATAGGCTGGACTGGAGTGTGGTGCCTGCAACGGTACAACGTACCTGCACCTACCACCTGTCCAGGGGGGCCGGGGGCCGCAGGAGGGTACTGGTGCCGTGTTCCTTCGCATGAGCCATGGGGACGCCTTGCGTTGCTTTCGCCGGGTTGCTCATACGTCCACAACACAAAGTACATCAACGGATAGCAACGTTGGATGTCTGCGTGTGTAAAACAGCATCTTATTGACGATGTAAAAGCTACTGGTTTTAGGAGAGAGAAGGTTTTTGGCACAGATTTTTGTTGTTGTTGTTCATGCCCTAAAAATTCAGCTTGCCTGCTCTCATAAGGATCTAACGGCCGTCAGGGCACCGAGCTCAATTCTGGCCGTCATAACTCATCGGGGCCGATGACCCAACTAGGGATGGCGTCGGGAGGGACAAGTGGCCGGAGGGGAGTCAGGGTGCGGCCAACTCCGGCGGCGCATCGCCATCTGAGCGTCGAACGGAGCCACAACACACTATTGGCATACCGGTCAATTTGAGGTTTCTCAGCCTCTAATTGGCCTCGGCGGCCCGCGGTGGTGGGACAGTGACGATTTTCAACCGACGAATGGGTAGGGGAATGACCAGAATCGGCGGCGGCATTTCAAGCTTCTAGAACGGCGGAGAGGGTCGTGGCAGACCTGTTGGTCAGCTGGAATGGCCAGCAGGGTGACGGCGGGGCTAGGGGTAGCCGATGGAGTGGTGGTGTCGGTCGTGGTTGTGTGTGTGGGGGAAAGTATCTAGTGCTCCCAGGCTTGGGGTGCTCCCGGTGCTTCAAACGTCCGAAAAACATTTTTAAAATGTTCAAAAAATTCTGAAAGAAAATGCAGCACATCGACGGAACATCGATGTCTCTTGTCACAAAATTTCAAATCAAAATTCGAAACATTGCTTGAGATACAAAAATGACAAATTTTTGTACATAACATAAGCTGGGCTTTAGTTTTGGCCCATTATCACATTGATGTCAAATTTGTCATTTTTGTATATCGAGCAATGTTTCGAATTTTGATTTGAAATTTTGTGACAAG